GTGGGGGATTGCAACTAAATCGCATCTGTAGAAGACCCATGGTCTGCGCTTCATCCTCCGGCTCGCCCGGGTGTGGGGAGCTCCAGGCTCCGCCGTTCTTCCGCTGGCCCCGGGTTGTGGCTCCTCCAGCCCAGAGCCAGGAGCAGGCTGGGGCCAGGGCGCCCAGCACGTCGAGGAAAGGGGGAGGAAACCACCGAGAAACCCGAGAAGACAGGTGGAGGAACCGCAATTTCCGTACCTCCCTACAGCTCCTGCACGAGCCTTCCTCCCCCCCCCCTAAAGTAAATGGTGATAAATCAAGCACTGGAGGATTTAAAGTAGTTGTCATCGTTTTCTTCTCCATCGGAAAGGCGGGGGCGGGGGGGGAACCCATCTTGTGTGGAAGCCCGGCAATGGGCTGCGCCTGCCGCGGCGGCTCCACCCCTGCGCGGGGCTCGCAGGGAGCGGGAACCCACCGGAGGGGTCCCCGGCTTCAGCGGCGGCACCGTGGGCTGCGGGAGGCACCGGGACGGGCCCAAACTGCTCATGGACTTCAAGCTGTCGCTCGTTCGCTCGGCGACAAACTTGTGGCCGTGGTGGCAGCCGCAGAGAGGGGACCTCCTCTCCAGCCACCCTTCCCTGCGAGGTTAAAACAGTCTCGCACTGAGACTTGAACCGATCTCGCACGTTTTCAACCGCTTCGGCTGAAACCGAGCTTAGCCCCATCTCCGCCGGGAGATCAAACACCTTTCCCCCAAGCGTGTGACAGAGAACTGCCATTTTGCAGCCATGTCTCCTGGCAAGGATGGTTTCTGCAGGGGGGAAGCGGCTCGGACGACGGGGCGGTGTATAACGAGAAAGGAAGATAAAAGGCTGGGAAGGGGGGTGGGAGGGGGGAAATAAAACCTCAAACCCCACTGGAAACAGAGGCCCGGTGCCGCCGGAACGTAGGGCAGGCCCGGCAGAAGGGGATGCGCTTCTGCGGGAACGGCTGCGGGCAGCCGTCGGGCGGGGAGGTGGCGAGGGGCAGCCCTGACCGGGCTGGGGGTGGTCCCTGGGAGCAGGTCCCCCCCACCATCCCCGACCCCGCTCATGCCGAGGGAAGCGGCGGTTCGCAGGGAGGGCAACTGGCCCAGCTGGCCGGTCGCCGGCGGTCCCCGGCCGAGAGGGCAACGCCGTTACCGTCCCCCCCGCGCTCCCCGTGGGCCGGAGCGGAGCCGGGCGCGGGTGGGTGCGGAGGGTCGGTCCCCGGAGTGAAACCCACCGCGGAGGCCGCGGGTGCGGGGAGCGAATATCGTTAGGGCAGCGGTAGCCGAGGGTGTTAATCTGGGCTGGCTGGAGTGAAAAGAGGCAAATATTTCCGTTTGTGCCCTCCTGCCTCTCCCAGCACCGGCTGTCAGTCCCCGCGCTTGTTATCCGTACAAGGCATCAGTTTGTTTGGCTGAGCTCAGCAAGGTTTTCTTCTCCGAGCAGAACTATAATTGCTATAATTCTACTGTATCATTTGGATCATTGCAGTATTGTTGTTTTCGCTCTCTCGTTCTCTCCCCCTAACACTGCAATAACGCGCTCCAGTGTTAAATTAGCAGGTTGCAGGGGGAAGGGAAGGGGGAAGAAAGAAAAAAAAAAAAAAAAAAAAAAAAAAAAAAAAAAAAAAAAAAAAAAGAGGGAGAGACCATAAATGAATGAAAGTTTGTTTAAAAAAAATAAATAAAACAACAAAGTGACTTGGCAGAGGCGAGCTCGCATCGCGAAGCATCCTCGCCTGCGAGCGGGGCTGCCGCCCTTCCATCCCGCGCCCCGGGCCGCCGGGGC